TGGTTGCTAAGGCATTGCTATGGTGTTGTGTATGGTTGTTAAGCAGTGCTATGGTTGTTGCAATGGCGTTTACAAAAGCGTAAGCATTCACATGTGTTGTCACACGACCTGCCGCATCCACACCTCATTCCACACACTCGTTATTTATTTACTATTAGTACTGTCACAGACATTCACTTCTTCACGTTGTGAAACTGATCTTCACCACAGTCCTCTACGCAGGCTAATTAGAGTTAACCGAGAGTTGATCATATTTAAACATGCATATGAAAGCAAAAAATACAACATCTGGCCAATTAAACAAGAGATGCAGCAGTGATCCGTTTCAGTGTGTCTCGTTCACTTCACAGCGTCTCTGAGCGACGATTACAGAATAAACTACAGCTCACACGAGATTTATGAACTCAACGATAGGAACATATAGATATATAGATCGCTTTAAAGGGTTAGTTAACGCAAACATGAATATTCTGTCTTTAATTACTCTCCCTCAAGTCGTTCCAAAATCGTTAAGTTCATCTTCGAAAAACAAATGAAGATTTTTAGTAAACTCTGAGAGACACTGCAGCGACACGAGAGCAGACGTTGGAGATTCTGATAGATTTTTCATTTTTGGGAGAACAAACACTTTAATAAACCATTAAAAAATACAAACACCTGATAACTACTTCAATGTCAGGAAAAAAATGATGATAACGTATGATGGAGTTGTCATTGATCATGATGTTAGGGTTCATGGATTCAGTCTTCAACATGAGATAACACACACTCACACACACACACACATCTCACTTTCATTACCACTTACATTGTGCATTATGTGAAATATGTGAATAAAAGCAATTTAGTTGAACACAGAGCCCAACACACACACACACACACACACCTCACAAAAACACACAGACTCTTTCAGAGATTCAGCCTCTGGGTAAAAGAGGAAAACTCATTTTATCGTCTTTTATTATCTTCTGTTACACACACACACACACACACACACACAAACACAAACTTTTTCTCCAAGTCATTTAATTGAGTCATTTAATAGAGTGGCAAACCTCCAGATGCTGCTTCAACGAGATGCTACACACACACACTGACACTGATATGTGCATGGAGTCACTCTCACACACTCACACAAACTCTCGCACTGATACGTGCACACACACGTACACACTCACAAACACACACATTCACTCTCACAGACTTACACAAACTCTCACTCTTACACACACACACTCACACTGATAAGCACACACAGTCACACTCACAGACTTACACAAACTCTCAAACTGCTCACACACCTCAACCGAGAGACACGCGATACACACACACCGTCAAATCAGGACAAAGCGACGGAATCAACTCAACGACATCATCGTCTAGACTGTGTGTTATATCCATACTCCATCAGCGTGTCCATCAGTATATGATTATATATTCTTCTCTAATTTAATGCACAAATTTTCATTACAAATGAAATGATCAGAATAACGATTAGAGTTTGGACAAAAGTTTTTCACTCTTTTACACCAGCCTCCTAAAACAGTCTTTCCAGAGTTCAAATGAACATCAGACAAACCAAAAATTATATATACAGCAATTGAGAAAAAAAGTCTGAATTTTTTAATAAAGTCACAATTCCCTTTTTTATTAGTTCTTCCGCGGCGGAAACAAGCGAGAGACAGTGTTAATGTGTTAATTATGTATTAATCATCCAAAAGCATGTCTAAATGAAATTAATTCATATACTTAAAGTAAAAAATCTTTTAAAAATGTAATGCATAACTCTGTTACAACACAACATTGCTTTTAATTTTGATTGTATTGTTTTGTTGAAGTCCTGCATTACAGAGGTTTGATAAACTTTATTATAACATCACGGTCATAATTCGACTTCATATTTGAAATGATTCAGTCACTCACAGAATTGATTCAGTTAGTCACAGAGTGGATTTAGTTACTCACAGAATTGATTCAGTCAGTCACAGAATTGATTCAGTCAGTCATAGAATAGATTCAGTCAGTCACAGAACTGATTCAGTCAGTCATAGAATGGATTCAGTTATTCACAGAATCGATTCAGTCAGTCACAGAATGGATTCGGTTATTCACAGAATGGATTCAGTCAGTCACAGAATTGATTCAGTCAGTCACAGAACTGATTCAGTCAGTCACAGAATGGATTCAGTTATTCACAGAATCGATTCAGTCAGTCACAGAATGGATTCAGTTATTCACAGAATGGATTCAGTTATTCACAGAATGGATTCAGTTATTCACAGAATGGATTCAGTCAGTCACAGAATTGATTCAGTCAGTCACAGAACTGATTCAGTCAGTCACAGAATGGATTCAGTTATTCACAGAATCGATTCAGTCAGTCACAGAATCGATTCAGTCAGTCACAGAATTGATTCAGTTATTCACAGAATCGATTCAGTCAGTCACAGAATTGATTCAGTCAGTCAGTCACAGAATTGATTCAGTCAGTCAGTCACAGAATGGATTCAGACTGACGTTCATTGGTGATTCACACTGGACAGACTGACTGAGATTCTCCCACACTTCATGGCCAGTGATGCTGGTTTTAAGAACCGGACGGGTTCAGTCCAGTGCTGGAGAACTAAACCAGAGCCGTTGCTGATCCAATATTAATGCAGTCATAACTCACAGCACTCGCAGAAGACTGACCCGACAAGAGCTTAAAACAGAGAGAGAGAGACTCTGACCTGTAACACTCTGCTCCTCCATGCAATCAGCACACCCACTTAATGAGAAGAAACCATTAAAAGTAAAAAGAGAGTGTGTGTGTGTGTGTGTGCGTGATCCAGAAGAAGGCTGAGAGTGAGTTATTAGGTCTATCGATCTATTTGGGCTTCAAACACACCAGCATCTCAAACGCAGACACTGAAGCTCTTCTTCATCATCATCATCATCATCATGCTGTCATTAGTGTTTAACCAGTCAAAGACCAGCATCCCCACTGGACCAATCAGCATCTAGAGATCATGTGAAAGAGAATATGTGACGCCAACATCAAATTCAGAACGGATGAAAACATGCACAGTCTACTGACAGACAGAGAAGAAACACTGCTAATATTTTAGTATAAAGGGCCAGATTTACTAAACAGGGCAAACACACACACACACACTCAGATACACACACTCATTCAAACACACAGCAACATTCACATTCTCTTACACACACACACACATTCTCAATCAGAGTACACTCTTAGAAGAAATGGTTCTATTTAGAACCAGAAATGGTTCCATCCTCCGCTTCATATATGGAACTGCAAAATGGTTCTATATAGAACCTTTTTTTTTTTTTTTTTGGTAAAAGGTTCTATTGGCCAAGTATGGAACCCCAGGATTCTATATAGAACCCAGAGGAACCCTTTTTTAAGAGTGTATAGAACCTTTTAGAGGTTCCAAATACGTAGCGCTGATAGAGCCTTTTAAGGTTCTATATAGAACCTTTTCTTCTAAGAGTGTAAACTGGTGGTCTTCAATAATCACACATCATGGTTTCTCCTTTGAAAAGCTTGTATGCTGTATGTTGGTTTCAGGCGTGAGTAAAACGCATGAGTGTGTGAGTCTGGACTCTGGCTCCTCCACTAAAGACCGCGTGTGTGTGTGTGTGTGTGTGTGTGAGGCTCATCTCTCCACGACTGACCAACAAGATCCCGGACAGCAGGAACACCACTGATGGAAACTACTCCAGAATCAAACCTTCAGGATTCAACAATCAATAGAATGTGTGTGTGTGTGTGTGTGTGTGTGTTAGTTTGTGTGCGTGCGTGTGTGTGTGTGTGTGTGGAAACTTCTCAACATCACAAAGCTGCTTTCCCAACCGCTCTCGTTGCCGAACACACACACACATTAATAAAGAGGAGTGTGTGTTACTGAAGCCTGAACACACACGTCAATGAAAGGTGAAGAATCTGCATCTAATCCTGCTGAGGAAGAGGAAGATGAAGAGCTTTTACTCTCGACTCAATGAATGCAGATCTAAAGCTCGAGATCAGAAACAGACACACTGATGTTGAACTTTCTAATGATCTGCTGTAATGTTGTCCACGATGAAACGAGTCATAAACCGTTACAGAAATAATCTTTTTTTTTTGTCTGAAAGGGTTTAAATGTAATGCAAATTAAGCCATGTGTTTTACTTCCATAACGACGATATTTAACACTTATTTAACACTTTACAATAAACTACAGTTTGTTAACACGAGTTAATGCATTGACATTATTTTTGTAAAAAATAAAAATAAAATAAAAAACAAGAAAAAAAAGCACACCTGTTCATTGTCAGTAAATGCGCGATAATCTCTCGTGCGTTACAGTGAGCGCGTGCACAGAGACGCCCTGACAGCCACGGGAGCGCGCACCTGTCTCCGCGCGCTATAAATAAAACAATAACACATCTCTGAGTTCTGCAGATTATTACTGTACACGACCACTAACAGAACATCATCCTATCACCATATCTTACACTGTCTACCCGAGTCTGATTATGAATAAAGCAGTTCATCAATAATCGATGGTCGACCAGGTGGGAATGAAACGGATGCATTCGATTAAAACTTATGAAACGATCCCCGTTCGTTTTTCCCTTCGATGGTCTCAAAGTAGATTTAATGCGTGGACATTTACGCTTCTAACCCGAGAAATTATTTGCAACCCGAAAAAAAAACGAAAATAAATAAATAAAGGGTTACTAATTATGAATAGCCAATGTATAGAATAATTAAAAAAAATAATATATACAGAGGACACATCAGCATATGTCCATATTCGCATCCTCAAAGTCACGTGACCATGTTAACATATACATTTATTCATGTGTTTACATATACGCGATTGACTGAATGAGAGATTCGGGTTTGGACTCGTTCCGTGCGCCATATATCATCATCATCATCGGTGTGTTCATTCATGCAGTGAGTGCGTGCGATCAGATGAATGGAAAAGTTTGAGTCCTAAACTCACCTTTATTTGTGTCATTAAAGTTTGATGTGTCGAGATGATCCTGAACGAGTCTCTCACAGAAGAACGATCGCCTCTGTCGCGCTCCAGGGTGTTCAAACGCGTGACATTCCTCCAGGACACTCAAATCCCGGAACGGGCTTCAGTTCCTCCACACACTCCTCATCCCGATCTCCGGGAACCTGTTCTGGAGGAAGATTCTGGATTCAGGAACGATTTCTCCTTGAATCCGTGAGAAAGACACCGAGGCTCGCCGAACGCTCCTCCATCTCCACGCGCTCCTGAACACATTCACAGTGCGAGTGTCTCGCGTGGGTTCCGAGGCTGTTGCATCACCTGAGCGCGCGTGGTTCCCGGTGATTCGGTGAGAGCGAGACGGTGGTGCACATCCCGAACCTCAATAACACATGTGATCGCCTCAAAACCTAGCGTGCTTCATACCGAGACAGCATTATCTGGTGCACACAGGGGCGCGGGAACATGTTTAACACTGGGGCCTTGGGGGTGCTGGATTTTTATTTATTTATTGGGGGGGGGGGGGGTATATACACTTTTGAATAAAAAACAATATCAAGCAATATAAAGTGTATAAAACTCAGCAAAACTCAGCAAAACACAACGAGCATATCATTTAAAAGTAGTAGTTCACTTTAAAAAAAAAACTTTTGCTGATAATTTACTCGCCCCCACCCAAGATGTCCATGTCTTTCTTTCTTCAGTCCAAAAGAAATTAAGGTTTTTGATGAAAACATTCCAGGATTTTCTCCATATAATGGACTTCAATGGGGACCAAACGGTTCAAGGTCCAAATGAGAGTTTCAGTGCAAACTGTTCAAAGGGTTTTAAACGACACCAGACGACGAATAAGGGTCTTATCAAGCGAAACGATCACTCATTTAATAAATAAATAAAGTTTAAGTTTTATAAGCTCAAATGCTCGCCTTGCTCTGTTCCGTGATGCGCGTTCGTGACTCTCAAAATGAGCTAATCTTTTTTCAAGTAATTTGATTCATTCAACGAACGAAATGAACGAACTGACTCGGGAAAAGATTTGTTTATGATAACTGGTGATAACTGGAGACGCACACACAGGTGTAATGCTGGAGCTCAGAGGAGTACACTGGCGCTCGCAACGCCAACATCATGGGTTCGAGTCTTAGGGAAAGCTGCGATGTAAGTCACTTTGGATAAAAGTATCAGCTGAATGCATAAATACTTCACCCTTTAGAAACATGGGACTACAGTTGCAGAAGTTGTATAAAAACTAAATTTGATGTTGAAAAGACGTCCACATTTGGACTATAACAGCCTTTACACGGCGGTCTCACGGGTTACAAAACAGTGGATCAACCTGGACGGCCTAAAATGACATTCAAAAGACGTCACACAGAAGCGCGTAATTATTTTAATATTAGGGACAGAAGACTACATTTCTAATTTCCTCCAATATATTCTTTGGATCATAATTATTGGTTATGGCTTAAATTAAAAATATCAAAATGTATTTTTCCTACATAGATAACACAAGAATCATATAGTAATCTATATTATTTATAGTACTATAGTCATTTGTCTTACTCTTGAGTCACACACAGCATGATTGAGAATACTGATAGATGGATGAAGATTCTTGAGAATACTGGTCCTTTCATGTTCCACAGAAACAATCATCATGTGAATAATGTTTCTGATTCTCTCTCTCCGCTGCGCTTCGGTTAACGTGTTCATTGAGTGCTTTTGACACCAAACACAACAGATCAATTACATAATCATTCAGACTAAACAACTATGACAGTCTGATTCCAGTTTGCAGTGATTTATTGGACCTCCTCAGAACCGCTTGATTACAGGAGATCAGTCACACCGAGACCTTCAGACGGACTCGTGAAACTTCACCTGTGTAATGATCCACCACACACACACACACACACACACACACACCTTCATCTCTGCAGTCTAAGCCATCAAACACAGCTGATCTCGAATCATAAAACATAATCCAGCTCCTCTGTAAGAGTCACTGCACTGACGAGATGTGTTTCATCAGTGCTGGTATGAATCCATTAATGCATTTATATATTAAACCATTCATCGATATTTGGACGATCAGACTGCGGTAAACAGATTGAGAAGAAGCGAGAAGGAATGAAATGATATTGATCCGTTTACTCACATAAAACACGACAGAGACAGAGTGACACATCGGTGTAAACCCTGATAAACACTCCATCAGCCTGACGCCCGCAAACCTTAATAGCGGAGTTTAATATTTATGATTCACAAGCAGGATATTCTGCTTTTCATCTCTTCAGTGTGTGATCATCTCTATATCAGTGTCAGTGTTTCTGAACTCCTGAAACGCCTCCAGTGTATCTTGAGTTTCTTCCGGGAACGAACACGTCACAATATTCCTCATTATAATAATTCATGCGCAGAATAAAGGGGCGGGGCCTGGTTGAGTTAGTTAGTAGTGTGTTAAACTGGCGGTTAAGGAAAGGGGCGGGGCATTTCCTAAACACACTCAACGCTCGACCAATCACAACACACTGCTCCAGCTGACTAATCAGAGCACAGTGTGCTTTTCAGAAGGAGGGGCTTCATAGAGACAGGAAGTAAACAGAGCGTTACTGACAGACTGGGAAGAGAGGAGCCGCAACAATGGAGAATATGAGGAGAATAATCAACATTCAAGCAGGAAAACCCGTTAGAGCCTGAAATACATCAAGACTCTTTCTGTAGGCCTAGCATATTTTGCAACGATTTTTTTTATAAAAGCTCAAATCATCTACTTACAAGATGAAATGTTAATAAAATTCCTCTATTCATCTCAGCAGGTGATAATTATAGTTTACAAGACTTCATCAACATGCCGTTGTCAGACGAATGATCCACAACAGAGAAGCACAGACTCAGGTGAGGCTCTGATGATGCGTTTACTGGCGAGAGGGCGGGGCCACCTGTCACTCACATGAGATCCACCAATAGCAAACTACAACCATTCAATAAAGCTTTCCATTACATTGACTTGTGGTGGAAAAGTTGTCACACATTTTCTTCTCATAACAAAACAGAGTACACTCATTAAAACATATTCGTACTTACAGAATATTAGTTAGTAAAATATTAGTAACAGAACCTATTGCATTATATTCTATTGGCAGCGTGTTGAAAACCTTATTGAAAACACGTGTGCACGTGCACACACACACAGAGAGAGAGAGAGAGAGAGAGAGAGAGAGAGAGAGGGGGGGAGAGAGAGAGAGAGAGAGAGAGAGAGAGAGAGAGAAGAGAGAGAGAGAGAGAGAGAGAGAGAGAGAGAGAGAGAGAGAATTCTAAAGTTGTTAACAGCGCGTTGGATTCGGTGAGAGAGACTCTGGCGCCCTCTAGTGCCAAACAAACATTCAGAGGATTCTCTAGTTAGGATGATTTCGGATTTTAAGTGTAAATCATAGCTTTACTCTTTTCTAAGTTCAATTACTTTTTCCTAATTTATGACGTTGAGAAGCTTCTCAGTGACCCACAAGTTTAAACTTTGCATCATCAATAGGCTTACATTTATGAGGAAAGATAACTAAAGAAGAAAGATCTAAGAAAGACTACGAACTAAGAAAGATCTAATTCCCATTTAACCGACAGCTCTAGTTGCATAGGAATCATTTTCGCGAGTCTCTCGGGGTTCTCATGCAGCGTCACAGACAGTAATGTCTCATGTGCAACTAAATCTATCTCATCTGAGCTTCTGAAAGTTTGTACTAGTTGACTTAGACGATGGGATCTGATGTTGAGTATGCGAAGTGCGCGCAGATAAACACATTTACATGCAGTTTAAACAATAAGAGTTTAAACATAATCTCTACATCTGACCCTCACAAACACACTGATATCAGGATGCACACAAAACAAGTGCAAAAAGAGCAACATTTATATAATGGGAATCAACCAAATAGAGGCCTGACTATTGCATTCTCAAGTTCAAACACCAGAACAAACCAGCGCTGATAAACAACACACATCTGACCTGCGGATGAGACTGTTCCTCTGGACACAAACATCTGTCTTATTTCTTCTCAAATCAAACATAAAAACACAATCCACATCCGTCAGTTTCTGCTTTGGTCTCCAACCCTTCAAACTTCCCACCTTGTGCTTAAATTACGAATTTAGTCACGTGACTCCAAAGATTTGTTTAGTTATTGATGTATTACTAACTCACTTAGAAAAGGGGTCACAATTATCTAACGTTGTTTTAATGTTATTTATTGGAGGTTTTGATCTGTTTTTGCAACAAAAAACATGCAAGAAATAAAAAGTAGGAAGTTTGTGAATAAAAATTGGCAAATTGTATGTCTGGAAATTTGTATAAATAAAAAATTAAATATTTAGCTTATACCGTATAATGGTCCATACAGAAACATAGTGTCGGTCCACATTTGCTACACGTGAATTGCACACGGCTCAAATGTGGGCCGAATCTGGACAGACACTATGTTGCTTTCTGGGGACATTGGGTCAGCAAAGGATGATGAAGAGAAATATTTAGAGTAAATAATAGCTTAGATTTTAATTAAACAGAATAACAGAAAAAAACTAACGGTGGTAGGAGCCAGGGATGAGACGAAAGCAGGAGGAGGCAGATGGCAGGCTGACGCAGGTGGAAGCCGAGAGCATAGGTGGTACGAAGGCCTATGGCAGAATCAATGTTGAGAGAAGCCAGGGTTGACCGCCAGCGATGGAGCCGAGAGATCTGGATGACACTGTAGGTACCAGACGCTTATGTGCAGAGCCACTGTGATGAGCATCCTAGGTGGAATCAAGAAGGACCGAGGCGACTCCGGTGCGTCTGAGGGCCAAGGCGGAGCCCGATGGAGCCAAAGGGGTGGAGGGATGAGACACGGCGAAAGGCCTGAAAATCTGTGGCGCAGTCAGACCAATGTCTGACCTAGGTGGAGCCAAGAGGACAATGGTTCCATGAGGAGCCATGGAGTCAAGGAGTCACGGTGGAGCCAGAGGGACGATGAGCCCGGTGGAGCCGTGCGGATAATGGTCCCAAGAGGAGTTGAGGGGTTGAAGGGCCATGGTGGAGCCGGAGAGATGAAAAGCCCTGTGGAGCCATGAGGAGCCGTGGAGTCGAGGAGTCACAGTGGAGCCGGAGGGACGATGAGCCGTGTGGATGATGGTCCCGTGAGGAGCCGAGGGGCCAAGGTGGAGCCAGAGGGATGAAAAGCCTGGTGGAGCCGTGAGGACTATGGTCCCAGGAGGGGCCAAGAGGTCGAGGGGCCAAAGTGGAGCCGGAGGGATGAGAACCCCCGTAGACCCTGAGGACGATGGTCCCAGGTGGGGCCAAGGCAAAGCTAGAGGGACGAGGACATCGGTCGAGCCATGAGGACGATGGTCTCAGGTGGAGCCAATGTGGAGCCCGCGGGATGATCAGCCAGATGGAACTGTGAGGGCGATGGTCCCAGGAGGAGCTGAGGGGTTGAGGAGCCAAGGTGGAGCCGGAGGGACGAGAAGCTTGGTGAAGCCATGAGGACGACGGTCCTAGGTGGAGCCAAAGTGGAGCCTGAGGGACGATGAGCCCGGTGGAGCCGTGAGGATTATGTTCCAAGGTGGAGCCAAGGTTGAGCTATGGTGGAGCCGGAGGGATGATAAGCCCGGTAGAGCTGTGAGGACGATGGTCCCAGGTGGAGCCAGAGTGGAGCCGAAGGGAGGAGGAGCCATGAAGACGATGGTCCCAGGTGAAGCTGAGGGGGCTAGGAGCCAATGTGTATACGGAAGGACAAAGAGCACCGATGAAGCCATGAGGATGAGGGACCCAGGTGGAGCCAAGGTGAAGCTGTAGGGGCAAAGAGCGGACGAGGACGAGGGACTTAGGTGGAGTCAGAGGGACGACGACGCCAGGTGGAGCCAAGGTGTGGCCAAGGCAAAGCCGGAGGGACGAGAAGCCCAGTGGAGCCGACTGGTCTATGGGCCAAGGTGGAGTTACAGAATGGTGGCCAGAAGTGAAGCCAGGGGATCCAAGGCAGAGCCGACTTACAGTACAAATCCTGAAGGGGCCAAAGACCTGACAGAACTGTGCAGAGGAGCAGGGAGAGGGAGGCTGGGCTTGTGTTTTCCACAACACTGAAAACTTAAAACTGATCCTGACCAGCGATAGTGAAATCTTTAGGTTAAGTAGAACCGGTGGTGACCCGTGATGATGAGGGCTTCGGGCTAGAGTCATCGTCCTCAAGCTCCTCTCTATTTCCCATTCGCTTATACAGTTGGAATCGAAATCATTCAACTCCCATTGCAAATCGGGTTTATTGGCAAAACGTACAGACTTTCTGCTGTGAAAAAAAGTGAATCAAAAGTAATTGAAATAGCTCAACACAACAAATGTTTTCCCCAAGCGGTTCCCCCAAATTCAACAGGAAATGACACTTTTAGTCAGTGTGTGTGAGAGAGTGTGTGTGTGCTTGCGCAAGGGGAGGGGAAGATGATTTACACTTTCTATTTCCCCTTTTTGCAGTCATGCATGAGCGTGTCCTGTTCAGTGCGAGATAAGCTTGACTTCTGTTCTTCCTCGTTACAAAATAACATTTCAGTCCACACACAGCTGCCGGTGATTGAAACATCGTGACGGTTCAGACGACAGACCGATCATCCTTTCATGAGCTGTAAGTACAACGATCTTTCTCTTCAGTGTCTCTTTCTGAACGCTCACCGTTAAAATGAAGGAAACGTGAGAGTAACTTATAAGATTATATGTTTGATAAAAGTGTTTTATAGATACACAGTCTCATCTATTTGAATTATATCAGATTTTGAGTTGAACGTCCACAAATGCTTGTTTTATGAAACGTAATTTAGATTATTTTACACAATGAAAGCACTTGGCATCAGACAAGAGTCAGTTTATTACGATTTGGACTGAAACTGAGTTGTCAGAACGTATAAATTTGGTGGAAAGTCATGATGTGTGTTTAATACTTTAAGTTATTTTAAAAGAATAAAATAAAACAAATGAAATGAAACTGAAAACAAACCTAATGAGCAACTTAGTTTAGTGTGACAACTAGCCCCGCTTTCAACACATTATTTCTACAGCGCTTTAGATTGTCTCAACACAGTAATAACCATGAAAAGAACTGAATCAATGATGCGAACTTCATCAAATATGAGACAAACCCAATTCCTGCTGTAAGCAGCTGTAAAAAGTCTTTTATCAGATCATTTCAGTTCAAGTCTGTTCTCCTCTGATAGTATCAGTGCAGTCAAATCAACAATATGACTGAATATGAAGTGTCTTTTACTGTCAACAGTCTTTCAGGGGTATTGTGCAAGAATCCGGTTTTAAACTCAGATCACATGTGTGTTTGGTGAAGCAAACCTGCCTACGATCAGAAAGCTAAAACACCAATAGGCAAATGAGATGAGAAGTTTTGCAGGCCTGCATCTGCAGTGGTGCAGAAACGGAAACAGGTGAGAGGAACGAGCCTCAAACATGAGCAACTACCATAGGCCTCCAATGACCCGCTTTACAGCACAAACCTCAGACGAGCAGAGGCATTCTGGGGGATTTCAGTCACAACTGCATATTTCACAAGGCATCATAACATCATGCTCTTGTCACAAAACAAATACATATGTTACAGCTCTAACAGAGCAAATAATCATGTAAGCTAATGTTCTAAAAACATTTTTCCCATTGAGTTATGAAAAGGTTATTGCTGAACGTTCCCTCTCAGCAACATATAGTTTCGGCTCAGATTCGGCCCACATCCGACACTGTGTTGCTGCCTGGGAGAGAACATTTAAAGTTTTTCGGTAACACTTTACAATAAGGTTCATTACTTAACATTACACTAAAGTACAATTATTTTAAAGTGTGTTGTGAAAATAGCTAAAAGCATGATGCTAATATACTTTTAATATATTTAAAGATAGTACAAATTTAGTAGGCTATTTGCAATGTACTATTGAAAAAAGGAATATTTTTAAACACATAAGTGTGTCAGGACACATACGATTTTGTGCATATCTGATTGGAATCCGATCATAAAGCCAAGCAAGAAAAGTCACGCGAAATGCATCAGTTATGATGAGCTAGTTTGAAATCCTATTACATTCCAAAAACATGTATTTCGTAGCTGAGGATCTAAAGCGATAATTCGTTAAATGATGAAAATTCTGCCTGTCAGGTCCTGAACTTTCTCCTTCATGTGGTTTGATCTGTAGTGGGAGTTTTTACTCTGGCTCACAGTGTGACGACCAGTGTTTGATTGACAGGTGGTTTGTTGGATGGTGTTTGATTGACAGGTGGTTTGCTGGGTGATGTTTGATTGACAGGTGGTTTGCTGGATGGTGTTTGATTGACAGGTGGTTTGCTGAATGGTGTTTGATTGACAGGTGGTTTGCTGGGTGATGTTTGATTGAAAGGTGGTTTGTTGGATGGTGTTTGATTGACAGGTGTTTTTTTGGCTGGTGTTTGATTGACAGGTGTTTTTTTGGCTGGTGTTTGATTGACAGGTGGTTTGTTGGATGGTGTTTGATTGACAGGTGGTTTGTTGGATGGTGTTTGATTGACAGGTGTTTTTTTGGATGATGTTTGATTGACAGGTGGTTTGCTGGATGATGTTTGATTGACAGGTGGTTTGCTGGGTGATGTTTGATTGACAGGTGGTTTGTTGGATGGTGTTTGATTGACAGGTGGTTTGCTGGGTGATGTTTGATTGAAAGGTTGTTTGTTGGGCGATATTTGATTGACAGGTGGTTTGCTGGATGATTTTTGATTGACAGGTGGTTTGCTGGGCGATATTTGATTGACAGGTGGTTTGCTGGGCGATATTTGATTGACAGGTGGTTTGCTGGATGATTTTTGATTGACAGGTGGTTTGCTGGGCGATTTTTGATTGACAGGTTGTTTGCTGGGTGATATTTGATTGACAGGTGGTTTGCTGGGCGATATTTGATTGACAGGTGGTTTGCTGGATGATTTTTGATTGACAGGTGGTTTGCTGGGCGATTTTTGATTGACAGATTGTTTGCTGGGTGATATTTGATTGACAGGTGGTTTGCTGGGTGATATTTGATTGACAGGTGGTTTGCTGGATGATTTTTGATTGACAGGTGGTTTGCTGGATGATATTTGATTGACAGGTGGTTTGTTTCTCCTTCTAGTTTCTGAAGTGTCTCCATCATGGAGGCGACTGGGAAATACGACTTCTCAGCCACAGCAGAGGATGAGCTGAGCTTCAGGAAGGGAGATATTATCAAGGTGTGTATGACCTATATATTACAAAAGTGCATCACACGTCCACACACACAACTGACTGAACCCATCTGAGTTGAAGTGAGTTTGACCATCACATGCTCCTCTGTAGATTTTAGGCACCAACGACGACTGGTTTAGAGCAGAAATCCACGGGATGGAAGGATTCGTTCCTCGGAATTACATCAACATCCACTTCCCCAGGTAACCAACATCACCAAACACCATTACCAGAGTGACTCTGCTTCTAAACCATTACCAGACTGACTGGAAAATACCATTTACAACCAAAACAGGCAATTTACCATCGGAAATATATGGATTTCAAAGCATTTTGACGGTTATAGCGCCACCTATGCTCCGATCTTCATGAGACTTTGCATGCTTCCTCAGCATGTTATGACGCATGTGTTTGATTCTTGGCTTGATTCTAAGTCAAGCGTTCTAGGAGTTATGAGCAGCTTAGTACTTTTGGTTGCTGTAGCGCCACCTATGGGCCAGTCGGGCTCAACTGATAGGTTGTCCCCAAATTGAGTTCTACCATCTGGCTAGGTTTTAAGTCTCTAGCTCTTACGGTTGCACTTACAATTACAATAGAGTTGCAGCACTTCGTGTTCGAACCCCTAACAACTGGAAAAGCAGTTTCCACTACACGCCTCATCGAGCAGCATGACGGACAGTTTCTGAGCAGCTCAAATAACCGGAAGTGACCGAGACTGAACGTTTCGCACACCCACGCTAAAAATGAAGTGTGTTAAAAACAAGGCGGAAGCGTCACAGTGTTATCGACGGGCAAACACTCATTAATAAACCAAACCACCTGACAGAGTTAACACAGGCTCTGTCTCACTTTACACAACAATTCAACAGAATAGAAAAAATAAACATGAGCATTATTGTCAAGCTTTATGAGTCAGAGAGCTGATGAAAAGGGGAAGTGTCCAAATATAATCATCGAAATGGTGGAGAACTTGTTTTTTTATAATTTCAAGCGTCTCCAATTCATCATTTTAGGAAACATTAACATTCACTAAAGCATTATATCTCACTTTACTTCAAACATTTTCTGTTCAAACTATAAATAACTAAATGGCATGGGGTAGGCTCTTCTTGACTTTGGTTAGCCACCACCCGAAAACACCCTAGCAACCACTCACAGCACCCTAGCAACCGCACACCTGTTCTTCAGCACATTTCAGACTGTGGCATTATATATATTATGTTATATTATATATATATTAAAGTGTGTTTCTGCAGCTGGTATCAGGAGAACACCAGTCGTCAATCTGCTCAGGATCAGCTGATGCCTCGACCAATCGGATCATTCCTCATCAGAGGCTCCCAGAGTTCACCTGGAGAATTCTCCATTTCAGTCAGGTACAACACACACACACACACACACACACTCACACATCATGCAGGTCTTCTTGAATCCTGGCTTCTTGAATCCTGGTCCAGATGTGTTATAATTTCACATGTGTGTGTGTGTGTGTCAGACATGAGAATGATGTGCAGCACTTTAAGGTGATGCGGGATAAGCAGGGTCGGTATTACCTGTGGACCGACACCTTCAGCTCCCTCAACACACTGGTGGAGTTCTACACACACACCTCCATCTCCAAGCAGAGCCGCGTGTTCCTGCTCACAGAGCAGCGGGTGAGTCCACACACACACACACACGCTTGAGCTCAAACTACAGGAGTCTTCGAAACTACACACACAATGTCCCAACAACACCCTAGCAACCACTTAGATGACCCTAGCAACCACCCAACAACGTCCTGACAGAGACGACTCAAGCATCATGATCATACCCCACAGATAAAGCATGCTAAAAACGTCACTTTTTAAAGCTGAGCAAAAATGCGCTGTTTGTGTGTGTCCCTTTAAATGCAAATGAGCTGCTGCTCCCGCCACAGGGGGCGGGGCTTCAAGAACTCGGATTACCACACACTTACGATTTCAAAAACTTGTAGCCTTTAGTGTTCAAACCGGAGTCACACAAAGATGGAGAAGCAACAGGACATTTCTCAATGATTAGTTGAGTTTGTGTAGTTCCTACCAGCCGTTCGTTGTAGTCCTTAAAAAGCGATTTCTGTAAAAGAAAATATCTCCATTTGCTTTGAAATCTGAGTGTTGTAACTTTGCAGATGTTGTTTATCCTCTAACAGCAACATTACACACTAACTAGAGTTAGAAAAGTCGAATCATAATCAACCACCTCTCTCTCTCTCTCTCTCAGAGTCCATCTGATTTCCCACACAGGAAGTCTGCTGAAGCTCCGCCCATCTCTCAGGTACAGCCGCTGTCAATCATGTGACATCATTCTTCTGATGAGCTTCAGCCTGAAATCTTCTCATTCTTACAGGAGAGACAAAACTACAGAACACCAGCACCGCTGTTCCCTCGCCCGCCCGAGCCCTCACCGCCAGCACAGGTGCAACACACACACACACACACACTAACCCTACCCATCACACACACACACACACGTAACCCTCTCTCCTCTGTGTGTGTGCAGGCGTCTGCGCTGCAGGTTCGGGCTGTGTATGACTTCACTGCTGAGGACGCAGACGAGCTCAGCTTCCGCGCTGGAGATCTTATAGAGGTTTTAGATCAGTCCGATCGCTCCTGGTGGAAAGGTCTCTTGCACGGTAGAATCGGACTTTTCCCAGTCAACTACACCAATCCGGTGTGAGAATCCCAAACACAGACGTCCCGTTAATAATCCCTTTATTCCTCTGGTCTTCTGTCTTAATGTTGCATATTAATGTTTTGTCCATATGTATAATAGGCATACATTCACAGTTGTGCAGTTAAGAAACACTTTTCATCTTTTCATGAATGCACACACACACTCTCTCACACACACACTTGTAAAGCTGAAGTCTTCCTGTAGAGCGATTTGGAAAAAAAAATAATTGCATGTTCCGTTTCACAAACAAGTTTATGAACTGTTATGATCCTCTAGATATGGACGAAATATGGATATGCATGAAATGTTCCTGAGATATGATCTTCATCCAAGTAATAAATACATTCATATTTACAGTAAAATCACATGCAAATGTGTCATGACTTTTTTTTCCATCAGAATTCACTTCCTTAGTGCATGTTATTCCAAAGCAGTGTTGGGTAAGTTACTCTAAAAAAGTAATTAATTACTAGTTACTAATTACCTCTTCAACAGTGTAATTAGATTACCGTACTAATTACTCTCTCTAAAAAGTATTTAATTACTAATTACTTTCAAAATACCATCAATCTCAACCAGCTGAATAATACAAGAATGACATGAATCTGTTTTAATTCTTTCAAATAAATACTATAAAATTGCATGAATTATCCTTAAACAGACCAAGGAGAAGGTTACATTATAAAAACACACTTTAGCATCAGACAATACATTTTGATGTTAAACCCACTATTGTTTTATGTCTGATCTCATGATATTTCACACTTTTTTCATACATATTTTACAATAATTCATACGAATTTGTACGAGTGCGGTCGTAATATTTAGACACCTCATAAAATCGCTGTGCGATTGATACACAGTATTTACCTCAATTACATCAGAAGTAACTGTAATTAAATTACAGATAAATTAAGAGTAATCCCTTACTTTACATTTTCAAGGGAAAAGTAATTAAATTACATGTTACAGTTACACCCAACACTGTTCCAAAGCAAACAAAGTCTGTCCGAAAATCACATCCCGAATCCTGAACAAAAGCAAATACGTTTCATCTCGATTGATGTCAGTCTATGATCGGATGGAAACACACAGACACAGAGATCAGATCTGAATCAAGGAAGATCAGCTGCTGATCAACTCGAGCATGCATCAGGCTGAATTGAGTTTCAATTGTATTGCATTTCTGATCTTCCATTTCTTTTTGTTTAATTTACCTGGGCTCGACCAGAATATTTTTTTCATTTTTTCAATATTATTTTTTTTTTTTACAGTTTTCTTTTAATAACTTTTCTTTTGTTTGTTTTTCTACATTTTACAATGGCCAAAAGGCAAGATGACACAAATACAAACACTTAGTCCTGATTATATCGCTCAACCTTTTATGAAGCCCGACCCTCATGTTGGAGTCTTTCATACTCAAACAAAGTTGCCCTACAAGCGCTGTATTTCTCGTGAACTCCGCCCACCCGCAGAGCACACCTGCCCGCGAGCTCGAGCTCAGGTGAGACATTCTCGAGCTCAGGTGCGCCGCATTCCGAGCGCGTGAAGGCGAGCAGGAGGTCGCGTCGCGTCGCGTCATGGCGGAGTCGCAGCTCATGTGTATGGAGGACGGGCTCATGCCCACCGCGGTGCCCGAGTCCCATCCCCAGTTCTACTACAGCGAGCAGCAACGCGCCGCCCTCGAGAAGCTCCTCGAGCACGGAGACGGCGCGTTCAAGACCCTCCTGAAGGACGAGAAGAGCCAAGACTTTCTGTCGGCGCGGGAGATCAAGACCATCACGAGCACCTTCGTCAAATATCAGCGCGAGGACGACGATGGAGGGGCGTCGGAGAACCGAGCGAAACGCGACGCGAGCGACTCGATGCGCTCCACATACTGGCCTCAGAAGTCGGACACTGCGGTTCCTCCACTGGACCTCGGCTGGCCCTCATCAGGGCTCTTCAAAGGGGTCACCCGAGTGTCTGTGTACACACACCCGCCCAAGGAGAACAGCCCGCACATCAAGGAGGTGGTCCGCAAACTCATACAGGAATCATGCAAGGTCAGGTCAGCCATCGTTATACTATTAAAGAATTATGGATATTTTGATATATCATGTCATTTGACTCTGAATCAAAGTAAATCAAGTTGCTACGGTATAACCCAGCGAACAGGGAGCGTTCTGTCCAAGTTATGAACAAACTTCTGACTCCCAGTAACAATAATAGAACGTTCGTTCAACGTTCAGCACAAAAACGTCATTCATTCTAAAACATTTTTATTCGGAAGTCTAAAGTGTTCAGTTCACTTATTTTTTAGTAAAATGGTTGCCTGCAAAATTATTTACTAAAAAAAATGTGATGCTTAATAAAAATAAATAAATAAATAAATAAAAATAGGTTATTTGTGAACATGACAATTCCACATTTTTTAATTGCTTCGATTAAGCATGACGTTTATTTACGTAATAATTTTAAGGCAGCAGGTTTCCTCAATTATTTTTAAGTCAACTGATCACTCCCTACAGTGTTTATAGACCCCCTTTGCGCCAATGTCACAGTTACGTCACGGCGCTAGCTGGAGGCAAAACAAAGTGAAAACTGGAGGCGGCCAATACAAACCAGCACAGATTCGGCTACATAATAAGGAGCTTAAAGGGTTAGTTCACCCAAAAATGAAAATTAAGTCATTAATTACTCACCCCCATGCTGTACCAACCCCGTAAGACCTTCGTTCATCTTCGGAACACAAATAAAGATATTTTTGATTGAATCTGAGGGCTGGATCACTCTTCCATAGACAGCCTGAGGGACTGCCTCTTGACGGCCCAGAAAGTCATTAAAAGAAAAGGTTTAAATATTCCATGTGCCTACAGTGGCTCAACTATAACTTTATCAAGCGACGAGACTACTTTTTGTGCGAAAAAAAAACGTAAATAACGACTTTATTCGACTTTCCATTACTTCCTTATGGGCGCATGCGCGAGAACTGAGACGAGACCGTTCTTCTTCGACTACTTTTTGTTACCGGCTGCTCACCCCTTAGGAGTTTTACCGTCCCCTACCGTATAAGATGACGTACTGATATAGCCGGAGGCGCAAAACGTTCTGTTTACAAGCAGTACGTCATCTTATACGGTAGGGGGCGGTAAAACTCCTAAGCGGTGAGCAGCCGGTAACAAAAAGTAGTCGAAGAAGAACGGCCTCGTCTCAGTTCTCTCTGGAAAGTCGAATAAAGTCGTTATTTACGTTTTTTTTTCGCACAAAAAGTAGTCTCGTCGCTTGATAAAGTTATAGTTGAGCCACTGTAGGCACATGGAATATTTAAACCTTTTCTTTTAATGACTTTCTGGGCCGTCAAGAGGCAGTCCCTCAGGCTGTCTATGGAAGAGTGATCCAGCCCTCAGATTCAATCAAAAATATCTTTATTTGTGTTCCGAAGATGAACGAAGGTCTTACGGGGTTGGTACAGCATGGGGGTGAGTAATTAATGACTTAATTTTCATTTTTGGGTGAACTAACCCTTTAAATTATTGTTTCTATTATTAAATGTCATCTTGTTGTGTTGTTTGGTGCAAGAATTGATGAAAAATGAATATGCTGAATCTGGAATTTTTATTTCTAGAAAATATTCACATGATTAAAATCGCACTGTAATGTCACTCTTTACATTGTCGTGGTCTCGGCGCTGGCTCGGCAGAACTGCGGATCGTACACACAAGTCTTGTACAGGACCATATAGGCATCGAAAGATTTATATGCCCTCAGTTTCTCTTTACGATCGGTTTCTCTATAAGGTAGGTGTAGAAGTCAACCGAGGTAACGTACGTTAATCCTGTCAGATCGTCCATCATTGAGTGAGCGTGTCGGCGGCTACGGGTCGGCCAATCTGGTTCCGTCCGTTAAAAATAACTTTTGGAAATAACAATCGCGGTTCTGGACACTGAGTGACCTTACACATTAAGATAATATCAGATTTTCTCAATTCATTGTTAAAAACAAGCTAACAATCCTTGCTAACTAGCGTTAGTGAAGCGGCCAGAGGGATCGTTCTGCCTCCACCTAAGCTCCGCCCACAAAAAAACGTCACCATGTTTACCAACTGAAAAGGGGTCTATACTTTTAAGATAATACTTGCAAAATGATCAAAATGAGAGATTAAACTGTGATTACGCGCTAAATAAGGGGATTCCTCGTCACTATGATCTTCACTTTCATTAGCCGACTCTGAACATGTCAGGTAAAGTTGCACCTCCGGTGGTTCACATCTAAATCAAGACACCCTCGCAATCAGCAAAATACCCTTAACAACTGCCTAGCAACCACCCAGAGCACCCTAGCAACCACCTGAACAACGTGAATAAGCCATATCTCAGCCCCAGAACAAAGTACAGATATGGTTGTTGGCTCGTATGCAATCCTGTACCACACCCTAGCAACCGAGCGGTGAGTTTTGCCACTGCAAGCACCACTTCACATTTTCTTCTGGAAACGTACATTCTAGTTAATAACTGATATTTAGGGGCTCGTAAGATGTCCTGAAGGTATAGCGATAACTCCGGAGGATTCCTGCTGGATGTTTTAAGATCTTGTTCAGACTTGATGAATGATTCTTCTGAACACTGAATCACTGAGCAGGAAATGATGCGTTCTGCCTTAATGAAATCTGACACACCCTTTAATAAAGAGCTGATATGTCGGTGGAATGGATGTTGTTGTGTTGGTGATTTCCCGGGAACTTCACAGACGAGTCGCACCAGATTCCACAGAGGGACTTTCTCTTTCTGCTCGATCTCTATCTTATCCGTCATAAACAACAACCCATGAAGAGATAAAGATGCCCTATTTCCTCCACGTTCATTTATTGTGAAACACTGTCCGCTGGCCAATCAGAAAACTGAGAGAGTGGGAAGGAGAAAGTGAAAGCTGTGGAGAAAATTCTTCTGAACTGGGTGTGTGAATCAGCTTTACATTTACAGACAATAGTTTCAGTGTGTGTGTGTGTAACTGAAATCCAAATCAACACACTTGCACACACACTCACATTCTCACATATACACAGACACGCACTTTCCCATACACTCAACACACACACATACTCTCACACAAACACACTCACATATTATTCTCAAACAAGCACTTTCCCATACACACATGCATTCGCACACACTCATCTGATTTGGAAACACACACTTTATTCCTCTGGGCCGAGGCCATGAATTATATCAAATTGCAAAGACTTCTGAAATCGTGTATAGCCTATATTTGTTTTGTTTTGTGTGAGAAACAAACCAGAATTTAAGACAATATTCACTTAAATATATTTCATTTAAATTTCAAATTTCAAAATTTCATTTAAATATATTCTAAGAGCATTTTTGTAGCGTTCCTATTAAGACTTCTGGATGTTCAAAACGTCGGTAAACTGTTTGTTCTGGCTGATTCTTCACATTACGGGAACGTTACTTTTGAATGTGCTCTGAAACAAGTAGTTACATTTAAAACACATTCAATGGACGATGAATAATGTTTATGTTTTGAGAACATTGTTACAGTTTTTTCCAATCGCTAACACACTAAAATGACATGCACAGCACAATTCTTTAAACGGACACACAGAGAGCAAAAAGTTTCCAAAAGTCTAAACACATTTTCTGCTTTACACACATTTTGCATTTCAAAATGCCCCTTTTTAAATGCACTGAACACAGTTCTCTGCATAAGACATAAAGTCACATGTTTGCCATTTCTAAACACCATCTGCCATCTGGCCAAACACCTCAATGGTTAATTGTTAACACTTCAATCAGGATGTAAGCACTATAAAAACTTGCCACTTTTTTTTACCGTAATATATTTTCTGGAAGTTTCTTTTTCAGTTTACTGTTTTTTTGTAAGTAATTTTTTTTTCAGTCCCATGTAAATATTTCTGCTGTGCATACGTTTACTGTGGTGAAAAAATACAGAAGTTTCAACAGCAACTGTGTGTGTCTGCAAATATTTCTGTGCATGTGAACAATCTGATACATATTTTAGTATTATAGCAAAACATACTAAAGATAGGAGTGCTTTTCATGATGCCCAGAGTTGTTTAGGCAAAAATCTGGTAATATGAATGAAGTGTGTGCCAGTTCATGCAAAAGTTTGATTTTGATAATGCTATGTGTAGTTTCATTATGCAGGATATATGAGGTATTTTGCAGTTTGGGTGTGTGGTTTTGTGAATTGTGTTCAGTATTTTGATAAAACCAGACTAGTTTGCAAAATTGTGTGTTAGCAATTGGAAAAAAACTGTAAAGGCCAGATAACTCAAACGAACGCCTCGAACGCTCTACTAACGTTACAGGAAGAACGTTTGTTCATGACTCTGACAGAACGTTCCCTGTTCACTTTTCTTTCCTGTAACGTCACATTTCCTATTTAAACCCGAAACACTGAAGCTTGTTCTATAATGAGGCTCCGGGTCGTCAGAGGCAGATGATGTCACGACTGTTCCTGGTTTATTTACCGCGCCGTATCACTGCAGACGAGAGTGTGTGTGTGTGTGTGCAGGTCGTGGCGATCGTGATGGACCTGCTGACCGACCTGCAGATCCTGCGGGATCTGTTCGAGGCGTCCAAGCGCGGCGTTCCCGTGTACATCGTGCTGGACGAGCTGGGAACGCCGCACTTCCTCGACATGTGCAACCGGATGCAGGTCGGAGCGAAGGAGCTGCAGGTACAGGAGCCTGTTCCCAGATGATGCTTATCCTCCACACACATCGAATAATCAAATGTGAAAAATGAAAAACTATTTAGTCTTCACTGCATGAATTAAAGGAGTAGTTCACTTTTAAAAAAAACTTTTGCTGATAATTTACTCGCCCCCATGTCATCCAAGATGTCCATGTCTTTCTTTCTTCAGTCGAAAAGAAATTAAGGTTTTTGATGAAAACATTCCAGGATTTTTCTCCATATAATGGACTTCAATGGGGACCAAAAGACAGTTAATAACAGTTTCAGATGCAGCTTCAAATGTCTTTAAACGACACCAGACGATGAATAAGGGTCTTATCATGCGAAACCATCGCTTATTCCAAAAATGTAACTTTTCTAAGGACAAATGCTAGCCTTGCTCTATTCTGTGAGGCGCGTTTGTAACGTCACGTAATACGTAATTACGTTCAAAAGGTCACGGGCGACGTAGCCGGAAGTACAGAATCAAAATCGTCCGACATCGTTGTTTTACCTTTTAATTCCTTTTTTTGTAAACGGCGTTTGAGTTAGTTTGCGCGTTCAACCTATGAGTTCAACTTGTAAACACTCTGACTCTGTACTTCTGGCTACGTCGCCCGTGACCTTTTGAACGTAATTACGTATTACGTGACGTTACAAACGCGCCTCACAGAATAGAGCAAGGCTAGCATTTGTCCTTAGAAAAGTTACATTTTTGGAATAAGCGATGGTTTCGCATGATAAGACCCTTATTCATCGTCTGGTGTCGTTTAAAGACATTTAAAGCTGTATCTGAAACTGTTATTAACTGTCTTTTGGACCTTGAACCGTTTGGTTCCCATTGAAGTCCATTATATGGAGAAAATCCTGGAATGTTTTCATCAAAAACCTTCATTTGACTTGACAGACTTTATGGGGTGAGTAAATTATCAGTAAAAGTTTTTTTTTAAAGTGAACTACTCCTTTAAATATGAAGTGTTTCATATTAAAAATAAAAAAAACTGATTCACTCAAAAGCAGTAAGTGTTTTTTTTTTTAACATTAATGAAACCGTGGCATCAGTTTATTAGGCTGCTGTCCCTTTAAGAAGGAATACACAGATATTACACATGCAACCATTTCACAAGATGTAAACAACACTGGTCCAGAAGCACTTCCTGTTTCAGTTTTTTAACACTACATAAAAGCTGGGATAAAATACAACCAACAGAACATATAAAACTGAATCAAAAAGTTAAACAAACATCTTTAAGATGTTTTCTTTACATGTGAAATAAAGAAAACAGTTACAAACTGAAACAGGAAGTGCTTCTGGACCAGTGTTGTTTACATCTTGCGAAATGGTCTATATAGGAAATAACAGACTGTGTTTACATTGAATATTGAACTTTAAGTATACTGTGAAGTGTAACACTTGAGAAAATCGATTTTTGAAATTTCTGAATCGATACATGTCGGTAGAAGACAGAATGGCGATTGGTTTACTTTAAAGGAGTAGTTCACTTTTGAAAAAACTTTTGCTGATAATTTACTCACCCCCGTGTCATCCAAGATGTCCATGTCTTTCTTTCTTCAGTCGAAAAGAAATTAAGGTTTTTGATGAAAACATTCCAGGATTTTTCTCCATATAATGGACTTCAATGGGGACCAAAAGACAGTTAATAACAGTTTCAGATGCAGCTTCAAATGTCTTTAAACGACACCAGACGATGAATAAGGGTCTTATCATGCGAAACCATCGCTTATTCCAAAAATGTAACTTTTCTAAGGACAAATGCTAGCCTTGCTCTATTCTGTGAGGCGCGTTTGTAACGTCACGTAATACGTAATTACGTTCAAAAGGTCACGGGCGACGTAGCCGGAAGTACAGAATCAAAATCGTCCGACATCGTTGTTTTACCTTTTAATTCCTTTTTTTGTAAACGGCGTTTGAGTTAGTTTGCGCGTTCAACCTATGAGTTCAACTTGTAAACACTCTGACTCTGTACTTCTGGCTACGTCGCCCGTGACCTTTTGAACGTAATTACGTATTACGTGACGTTACAAACGCGCCTCACAGAATAGAGCAAGGCTAGCATTTGTCCTCAGAAAAGTTACATTTTTGGAATAAGCGATGGTTTCGCATGATAAGACCCTTATTCATCGTCTGGTGTCGTTTAAAGACATTTAAAGCTGTATCTGAAACTGTTATTAACTGTCTTTTGGACCTTGAACCGTTTGGTTCCCATTGAAGTCCATTATATGGAGAAAAATCCTGGAATGTTTATTATCAAAAACCTTAATTTCTTTTCGACTGAAGAAAGAAAGACGTGGACATCTTGGATGACACGGGGGCGAGTAAATTATCAGCAAAAGTTTTTTCAAAAGTGAACGACTCCTTTAACGTCTGGTGTTTCCTCAGAACGTGCGCACTCGGAGCGTAAAGGCCGTCGGCCTGAACCTGTCGATGGGCAGAATCCCGGGAAACGTCCACAGCAAGTACATGCTCATCGACGGCGATAAAGTCATGTTCGGGACGTACAGGTGAGCGTGTGTGTATACTCTCCTAATGATGTGTGTGTGTGTGCTCTCTGATACTGATTGCTGTGTGTTAATCCTGCAGTTTCTCCTGGACGTCTTCCCGCATGGACAGGAACATGATCACGGTGATGTCCGGACAGGTGCTGGATTTCTACGATAACGATTTCCGAGAACTTTACGCCATATCGGACAAACTGGACCTCTTTAAGGAGTTCCACCTCGACAAGCCTCGGACCAACACCTTGTCCCGCGCCGCCGTTCCCAAACGCCCCGTAGCCGCCACTTCCCGATTCCAGGTGAACCTCGGAGACGTCAAAGTGCCGGCGCACAAATACCACAACCCCAAGTACCTGTTCTCGCTGGGACAGCTGCCGGGACCCGCGCCGCAGATGCAGGACTTCCTGAACACCATGGAGGCGCCCGATCCCGAGAATCCCACGGAAGAGCTGGAGAACCTCACGCCGCTTCCCTCCGAGACCGGGAAGAAGAAGCCGAGCAAGAAAACCAAAACGCTGTCGAAGTCGAAGTCGAAGGGGTCGTGGTGGAGGAGACAGAAGAAGGAGGCCAGTGAAGCTGTGATTGAGGAAAACACACCAGACGACGAGTCCAAACACACACTCCCCGCGGATCCGAGCTCGGAGGACACTGGGAAAAAGAAGAAGAGAGGACTGATGAGCTTTTTTAAAAAAGCGAAATGAGGATTATCCTTTAAATGAGCATGTGCATCTGTGCCGTGTTTACAGACTGACCTCACTTTAGACTTGTGTGTGTGTGTGTGTGTGTGTGTGTGGTTGATATGATCAGTGTTTACAGGTGTAACGATACCCTCGTGTCACGATTCGATACCAAGATACGATATTACTGTGATGCTTCAAGACATATGATAAAAGGTTAACAAAAGATGTACTGCTGATTAAAATGATATATTTGGTATTATTGTGGGTGTAAATGGATAGTATTGGACTTGGTGCTGAAACCCAATGAAGGACAAAAGAGACACCAGAATAAAAATATTCATGATTCTGAAGCTGAAAATACAGAATTATTTTAGATAGAGCCCGACCGATAAAGGATTTTGAAGGCTGATACCGATACAAATATTTTGGGGTTTTAAAATCCGATGTATTTTTTTTTTTTATTAAATATTGTTGGATTTCACACACGTGTAAAAGAAAAGCTAACTTTTCTGCACAAGATACGTTTGATACTTTTTCTCTATGTCTAAATGTTCACTCCTCGCAAGTCTAACTTACATTTTACAATGCAGGGACTGTAACTAGAGATATGCTAGTTATAAATACAGTAATCATTACTTTATTTAGGCAGAAAAAGTTCATTGTGGTTTCCAAGCTCATTAATGTTAACGTTAACGGTCTTCCACTGATGATAGTGGCGTTAGCTAGCTTTAGTCTATGATGAGCCATAATTTAGCAATAGATGACATCATACTGCAAATTGTAAAACATACATTTTCAATATAACAGGCCAAGGAGAGATGATTGAAGCGTGTTTCGTCCGTTTTTATTTTATTTTTTAAATATTCATTTATCGGCCGTTATAACTGCCGATATCGATATTATGGAAAATGCCTAATATCGTCCGGCCGATATATCGGCCTGGCTCTAATTTTAGGTGAATATGCTTTACTCTGACTAGATATATTAAAAATATTGTGACATTTGGCATATTCCCTCACAAATATTCCCCCATTGCATTATTATACATTATATTCAACATTATATTGTAGTACTGACACTAAAACTCTGTAAACTTGAATTTTTTCACACACAGTCATTTTTATTTTGGGTGAGCTATCCACAACACCTTACTGTCCACAATATACACTCACCTAAAGGATTATTAGGAACACCTGTTCAATTTCTCATTAATGCAATTATCTAATCAACCAATCACATGGCAGTTGAACTCCTGAACTCCAAACTGAATGTCAGAAATGGGAAAGAAAGGTGATTTTGTGCCCCATCGAGTAGCCTAAGCAAAAGTTTTACACACACTTGCAGTCTTAACGCCTACTTGAACACTTGGGTCAAAAAGGGGAAATTATGTTATGTAAGTAGACCAGTGTAAGAGCAAAGACAGCAGTGTGTGTGTGTGTGTGTGTGTGGACAAGGCACAGGGATTTACACACGGGCTCGGGCGCCCTCTGCTGGCAGATCTGGGCATTTAGGGCAGCATTTCAGACTCAGGATATCAAGGATTGGCACAAACACACACACACACACACTACGATCTCACAAACTTCACAAGAGCACATGACGTGCGTCATTTGCCACAACCAGAAATGCACTTCCGCTTTTATTCAGTGTGACATTTTTGGCCGGATCTGTGTGTGTGTGTGTCATGGCCAGTTTTATGTGACCACAAGAAGTTTGCTGAATTTACTGTAACAGCTCTAAACAGGAAGTGAACACATATATACGATGCATATATAATTAGCTATGGCATGCAACCATTAAATAATGTCCAGTTTGTCGTTGATAGCTTCAGCTTACCGTCCGTTACAGAACGCGTTTCAGGCCTCAGATGATGATGATGATGATGATGGAGAAACTCCTCATGTGTTGCTGGTTAGAGATGATTGGGATCATAAGCACCTCAGATGAGCATGAATCTGCCACCGGACCTGCATGAAACCACCATGCTGCAGGATGTAGAGTACTGAGAGTGTCCTGACTTAAGTTCCTTACAAAAAATAAAACAGTAGGGCTTAGCACCCTGAAAAATGAAAAATAAAAAGGTTTATCTAATTTATATAATTAAACATATTTTTCAAGTAAAGCTTCATATGATAAAAAAGATGAAGTAAATGTGTAAGACACATCCCGCTCGTGTTCCTGGAGAAGTGAAAGCGATGAGGTGATTTCGCGCGCGCGGGCTCGTCCTGTCCACCGGAAGCTGGAAGATTCTCTTCCCGTTTGATTCGCATTTCTCTTCTTCTGAAACACACACTGTTCTCTACACACACTTCCTCTAAATCTATGAGATCACGTTTCAGACTTTCATCAGTCCAGAATCTGATCGAGTGTGTGAGGATGTGTGCAAGAGTGTGTTTGTGTGTGTGAGAGAAAGTGTGTGTTTTGAATAGAATAACCCTGAGCTCCTTCTTTTAAGAAAACCAACGTCAGGTTTCCCGAAAGCTCAAATGTGTGTTTCTGCTCAAACTAGAAAGGCCCAAAGACAATATATCAACTCATCTGATCACAAATAACTTTATTAACCTCCTGAGACCCGAGAGTTTGCCTGGTGTGCATTTTATAATTTTTCTTGCTATTTGGGACAAGTAGGACCTAATAAGTATAATAACTAAAATTTGTTTTTGTACAGGAAGTAGTTTTTGCATAAAATGATGTCCTCATGCAAGGACAGTGGGTCTATCTTAACTACTTGAGACCTGAGTTTTGGTTTGGTGTGCTTTTAGATTTCTTAGCTTTTTGGGGTTAGGAGGGAGCAAGAAATATAACCAGATATTATATTTGAACATGAAGCACTTTTTGAAAAAACAAAAAACAAAAAATTGTCTGTATGCACAGAAAACAATCAATACACCATTGTGTAAAAAAGTGCAAATCTATTTTTTTTTACTGCATGAGCATTGTGCCTGAACATTTTTCATTGTTACTCTTGCATGCATAACTTCTGAAAATTGATATGGAAAAACAAAATAAATATAATAATGAAATATAATATCCATAATAATATATAATATCCACATAAAAAAACATATCCAAAACAAATTGAAAATTTGATTTCTTTTTTGCAATGCTCCAAAATTTCTGCTTCTCCAAACTAGAAATGTTCTTTTTATCTGTGGGAACAGTGGATCACACTTAACCGGTGTGAAAGACTGTGTAACTGTTGCCCCTGAACCCTCCATGGGCTTTATTCGTGCCCAGGAGAGGTGCACCATTGGATGCGCAATTCTAAAAATCAGCCCATCTTTTTCAGGGGATTTTTTGATTTTCAGAGCTCCACCACGGTGGATATCGAGCAAGAGAGAGCGTATGTGTGTGTGTGTGCGCGCGATCGCGAGTGAGTGATGTGTGTGTAAGCGATAGCGAGTGAGTGAGCGAGCGAGAGAGAGAGAGAGAGAGAGCGCGCGTGTGTGTGTGTGTGCGAGTGAGCAAGTGTGTGTATGTGTGCATGCGCGATCGTGAGTGAAGCCCCGCCCCGTTGAGTGTGTGTGTGCGCGCGCTCGAGTGTGTGAGCCTGCCACGAAGCTCAATGCAACTACAAATTTTCATTTTTTTTGCAAGTTTCAACGAAGCTTAGTCCCAATGTCCACATATGGGGACATCAACTTTAGCAGCTTAGTAAATCTTTATTTTTACAAAATTTTGTCAAATGTGCATGCCGTTTCAAACATACAACACTATTATGCATAACTTAACAAGAATCAACAATGAAATGTTATTAGATTGTTTACCTTGTGGAAGTTTTGGTCTGGAGTGGCTGCGTGACATGTGACCTGTTTTCTCTGCCATCTTTAAATTATTTATGTTAATTTTTTTTCTCTTCTGACGCCACCAGATGGCAGTGTAAGTGTCCTCGTTTGTGAAAAACATGTTCCAGTCACACAGAATTAAGTATTATGCTGCACAGAACCAAAAATGTGATGTCCCCGTATGTGCACGCAGGGTCTCAGGAGGTTAAATAATCAACTGTACAATGCGTCACCTATAATCATTTATAGGATATATAATATATACAAAATATATTTTACATGAAAAACATTTTCTACAAAACAATCAGAGTAAATGTGTTTGTTCTGAGTGTGTGTGTGTGTGTGTGTAGGAAACAATCCATCAAATCTGCTGCGTCATCAAGACACACACTCATATATTATATGAATTATCCCTTTATATGAAGAAGATATTCCAATCTTCTTCACAAGTTAAATTTGCAACTGTGGACGGAAACATCGAAGAGTCTCTGTAATCTCACTCTCAGAAAAGATCTCCGTATGAACGGAGTGTGTGTGTCAGGCAATGACCTGAGCTTCTCCGCACTCACTGTGAAGCTCTTCAATACTGACTGGAGTGAGTGTTTGAGGGGTTTCCGGAGAGGAAGATGTGTCCCTGCGTGTGCATAACACTGATCTGGTGTGTGTGTGTGTGTGTGTGTTGTGTTCAGTCCTGATCATTTCTCTGGAACTTTGTTGATGACTTTCTTCTTCCTGATGGACACGAGGTCATAGAACGGATCTTTTGTAATGCTGGCCCTGTGGAACACACACACACACGTTATAGGTCAGATTTGTGTCGTGCGTTCAGACAGTTTATGACGCCGTACACACACACACACACACCCTCGTATTCATACCTGATGTACTCAATCCAATATGGAGTTAAAGGAGTTGTTCACTCATCAACGAACGAAATGAACCAAATGACTCGAAAAAAGATTCGTTCACAGGAGAGTCACGAACGCGCATCACAGAACAGCAAGGCGAGCATTTGAGCTTATAAAACTTAAACTTTGTTATTTATTTATTAAATGAGCGCTCGTTTCGCTTGATAAGACCCTTATTCATCGTCTGGAATCGTTTAAAGTCCTTTGAACAGTTTGCACTGAGACTCTCATTTGGACCTTGAACCGTTTGGTCCCCATTGAAGTCCATTATATGGAGAAACACACACACCTGATGGACTCGATCCACTGGTCTCTCTCCTCCGCTGTAGAAGCACAGATGCTGTAGGACTGGTGTTTTCCCTCCACCACTCGCCCGTCCGTCTCCGTTTTACACGCCTTGATCTTCTGACCTCGACTGTTGGGGTTATACAGCTCTAAACAATACTGGCACAGGTCAAAGGTCACAGGTTAGCATCACTCACAACACACGCGCATGCCTTACTCTACTGACAGCAACTGAGTTTGATGTTATTGAGTGTTATTATCGTTCTCCATAAATCATATGCAGGATTGGACCAGATGAATCGCTCTATATTGAATCGTCCGCGCGTGCCGTCGCTAGGCTAGGCTTCAGTGTGTAACGCACGCGGGTCTCACCGGCTTCCGGGGAAAGAGCACTTCCTTCACACACAGATTCTCCAGAGGAATGATCCCGCGCGGCTCCTTGTCCTGATACACAAACACCACAATCAGCTCCGACACACACACTTTACACACACACACACACACACACTCATGCGTTCAGAGGGTTCTTACTGTGGTGTATTCAAAATAATACAGGCAGTTATCAGTGAGGATGAACCATCGCCTCTTCCACGTCTTCACACGCCCGCCTGCGGACGGATTACACATCAGCATCACTGAACACCAGATCACATGAGCTAACCATGAAAAATACTTATTAACTGGAGTTAGTGTTCATTTCAACATTTAGTTCAGTTCAATCAAACCATCTTAATGCTAATAAAACGTTCGATCTTTGATAATGTTCCCAAAACATGAGCACAAAAACATTATTTATACATCATTCATGGAATGTTTCAGTTGGACGTTTGTCTAACGTTTTTTAAATGTAACAACGTTCAGAGAACATTCAAAAGTAACATTCCATAATGTTTGAATGATACAATGAAACGTTCCATTAACATTTGAATAACCAAGAAAAAACAGTTTAGGGTTTTTTTTTTTTTTTTAATTTAGACTGTTTATCAGAAATTAGGTTTTCATAACTTAACATGAACATTCTTACATTAATTTTTATATTTTTGTTCGATTTTTGCAGAATCTATTTGACTAACACACCCAATCGATGAAAGACAACGTAAACTAGACTAAATGTGTCTGCAGTAGTGAATCATAATCAGTCAATCTTTATAATAACTTCATAATCTTTACCCAGTTTGAGCAGCCAGCCCTCGCGGTCGGGGTTGAAGAAGGTGTGTGTGAGATCATTCCCATCATCCTCTGGGATTTTAAAGGGTTCGTTCCGTATGCTGTTGAACAGATTCTGTGGTGATGAAAAGAAACACACACTTCAGTCTTCCTGTTAGTGCTGCTCATTACTGTCCAATAATTAAGGGATAATTCACCCAAAAATGAAAATTCAGCCCATAAGAAACATAACAGATGCACTTTTATCATGGATAGATGCACTTTTATGATGGACAGATGCACTTTTATGATGGACAGATGCACTTTTATGATGGACAGATGCACTTTTATGATGGACAGACGCACTTTTATGATGGACAGATGCACTTTTATGATGGATAGATGCACTTTTATGATGGACAGATGAACTTTTATGATGGACAGATGCACTTTTATGATGGATAGATGTACTTTTATGATGGACAGACGCACTTTTATGATGGACAGATGCACTATTATGATGTATAGATGCACTTTTATGATGGACAGACGCACTTTATGATGGACAGACGCACTTTTATGATGGACAGATGTACTTTTATGATGGACAGATGCACTTTTATGATGGACAGATGCACTTTTATGATGGACAGATGTACTTTTATGATGGACAGATGCACTTTTATGATGGACAGACGCACTTTTATGATGGACAGATGCACTTTTATGATGGACAGATGCACTTTTATGATGATAGATGCACTTTTATGATGGATAGATGCACTTTTATGATGGACAGACGCACTTTTATGATGGACAGATGCACTTTTATGATGGATAGATGCACTTTTATGATGGACAGATGCACTATTATGATGTATAGATGCACTTTTATGATGGACAGACGCACTTTTATGATGGACAGACGCACTTTTATGATGGACAGATGTACTTTTATGATGGACAGATGCACTTTTATGATGGACAGATGCACTTTTATGATGGACAGATGCACTTTTATGATGGACAGATGCACTTTTATGATGGACAGATGTACTTTTATGATGAACAGATGCACTTTTATGATGGACGGATGCACTTTTATGATGGACAGATGCACTTTTATGATGGACGGATGCACTTTTATGATGGATAGATGCACTTTTATGATGGACAGATGCACTTTTATGATGGACAGATGTACTTTTATGATGAACAGATGCACTTTTATGATGGACGGATGCACTTTTATGATGGACAGATGCACTTTTATGATGGACAGATGCACTTTTATGATGGACAGACGCACTTTTATGATGGACAGATGCACTTTTATGATGGACAGATGCACTTTTATGATGATAGATGCACTTTTATGATGGATAGATGCACTTTTATGATGGACAGACGCACTTTTATGATGGACAGATGCACTTTTATGATGGATAGATGCACTTTTATGATGGACAGATGCACTATTATGATGTATAGATGCACTTTTATGATGGACAGACGCACTTTTATGATGGACAGACGCACTTTTATGATGGACAGATGTACTTTTATGATGGACAGATGCACTTTTATGATGGACAGATGCACTTTTATGATGGACAGATGCACTTTTATGATGGACAGATGCACTTTTATGATGGACAGATGTACTTTTATGATGAACAGATGCACTTTTATGATGGACGGATGCACTTTTATGATGGACAGATGCACTTTTATGATGGACGGATGCACTTTTATGATGGATAGATGCACTTTTATGATGAATAGATGCACTTTTATGATGAATAGACGCACTTTTATGATGGACAGATGCACTTTTATGATGGATAGATGCACTTTTATGATGATAGATGCACTTTTATGACGCATAGAAGCACTTTTATGATGGATGAATGCACTTTTATGATGGACAGATGCACTTTTATGATGGATGGATGGATGCACTTTTATGGACTTCAAAAATTTACTCCCATTATAAAGCTTGGAAGAGTCAGGACATTTTTTAATATAACTCCGATTGTATTCGTCTGAAAGAAGAATGTCATATACACCAAGGATGATTTGAGGGAAAGTAAATCATGGGCTAATTTTCATTTTTGGGTGAAATATCCCTTTAACACCACGCTGTTATTTGTGCTCAGTGACTCCAGTGTAGTATTTTGGTCATGTGACCAGTGAGGAAGGATTGTGATTGGCTGCTCACCGTCAGGAGGTCGTCGGGAAGATCCTCTCCGTTGTTGATCCCGCGGTTCATGCTAATGAATCTCTCCAGCGGGGTCTTGTCCTTCACGCTGGGGTTGTGAAGACTCGTGTTCAACATGATGATGGCAAACGAAAGGATGTAACACGTGTCTGAGGATCACAAACAACACAACTTTACCAGAGACTGATAATAAACAAAGCGTTTTGAGATCATCAGCTTGGCCAATGAACAGATTTGTGAATGCTTAACAAATGGTCTCTTATTTCGCCATGGAATAAAATAAAACATGTAAAAGGTAATTGAAACTTTTTTCTGTTATTTTGTTAAAAAAAAAAGTCAGAATTGCATGAGAAGAAATTGGTCTGAATTGTGAGATTGTAAACAATCATCGTATCCCTTAAAACGTATCCTGTATCACCAAAATTACATATTTAAATGTTTTTTCCTTGAAAAAAAAAATGTCTTCATGTTCATGTAACTCGACACCCTTGCCTCATTTAGTATGCGTGGTTCTATGAATATGCAAATGAGCCCCGCCTCCACTCAGAGATCCACTGGTTGTCGATCACACGTTGATCTGATTGGTTACAAGGTGGTTTGTGACGTCAGAAACACCAAAGCGTGTTTTTGAGACTGTCTTTGGTTCACTGCAGTTTTAAGGAGGAAATACTCTTATCAACTTGCACACGGTGTGTGTTACAGCGTATTAAACACACCACACACACACATAAACAACATTAAACGCTGGATTTACACCACGAGGAGACCTAAAGTCATTATTATTTTTGTAATTTTTTAATTCCAGAAATAAAAGACTGAATTACGAGACGTAAAAAACCTCAAAATTCCAATATTACGCAATATTGTTTATTCCATGGCAGAAACAAGCTTCCATGAGTTTCTGTTTTCAAATACTCAAATATTATTGGGTGTAATATATATTATGTATTATGCAAGGCTTCACCTGTGGACTGGAAGACGTTGACGTTGCAGTTACAGTAACGAGTGGCGAACGCCTCCATCATGCGGTCGATCTTCTGCGCTTCTCCCGGCAGACGGAAACTCCACAGGAACTGCCTGAGGAGCAGGAGAGAGGAGCGATAAGACGTGTGTGTGTGTGTGTGTGTGTGTGAAGGGTAGAGCGCTCGAGTTCTCACCGTAACGCCTGGACCAGGTTGAGATCCGAAAACTCGTGCAGATCCACAAACGCCTTGAGAATCTGCAGGTGCATCTCCTCCCTAAACATCAGATCGAGATGCATTCATCAGGACACACACACACTCTCATGCACAGATCTGATGTGTGTGTTTGGTTCATAAGTCACCTCTCTCCCAGGAAGTCTCCGATGGCCGTCTTATTCAGTCCTTCCTCTTTATACAGGAACTCTGCCACTCGCTCTGGTTTCCACTCCAGAAGCTCGTTGTCCACCAGATACTTGATTCCCTGAAACACAGAGCGGTTTGAGCCGTTCACTCAGATAAAACACTGAAGCTTTCTGTGAGTTTATCCACACAACTTCCTCCACAGCTCAACATCTGCTTTCCTTCAGACCAACACTTCCCTTTTCTGCAGAATGACTAAAGAAAAGACTAAACCCTTCAAACCAAAATCACAGAAACTGATACACTGGTTGACTTTTGCTTATATAATATACAGAATATGAGAATTCCGCATTAGAAATATGATGCGTGTTATATTATTTAGTGCTGTCGATCGATTTAAAAAATGGACTACATTAATCACAGTTAAAAAACACTTGTTTATTTTAGGTTTATTTTAATTAGTGCCGTCAAACGATATCTAATCGCGATTAATGTCGCAGTTAACTCGCACATTTTTATCTATTTTAAATGTGACTTGATTTCTTTTTGTCGCATTATTTTTTCTGATTTTAATGCTCTTATCAACATGGAAAAGTGGATCGGCTTGCTTTGTGCAAATTCTTTTTATTGAAAACTACTGTGTTCAATTTCACACTAACATTCTCACTTGGAGCAAATAGAGAGCCTAAGCCCCGCCCCTCCGCTTCCGGCTCATGGGACCTTATTTCGGAAAAAATATGAATGGTAGTCAATGGCGAGAGACAACTTATCTTTTATCTGCCCTCAATTACACATATGATGTTTGTCAATTTAAAAGATAATTCTGAAAGTCAAAAACGTCGCAGTTTGTCATAAAACAGAAGAGTAACATTTAGTTTTATGTGAAAATCGCTCTATGAACTACATTTCCCAGGAAGCGAAACAACGAGTGAGATCCGCTGCTCGTGTGTGTGCAGTCTGGTATGACGGCGTAACGTTACGATTATAACGTAAGACTGTAGAAACAACGACAGACATTAGCCTCAGTAAAGTTAACTTCATTCATTGGGAGAAAATGTGCGCCTTTGGGGTTTGTAGTCTTTGTAATTACGTATTTTCACAGTCTTACACCTCAACGGTTTTACATCAAACTGCGACGTTCTTTAGGCTACTTTAAAATGTATCTTTTAAATTGACAAACATCATATGTGTAATTCAGGGCACAATTCAAACCAGATCAAAATATTTGTCGTCTCTCGCCATTGACTACCATTCAATATTTTTTCCGAAATAAGGTCCCATGGTGGTCGACCGGAACGGGCGGGACTCTCTATAATCTCTCACACAATGAAACACTGTACATCAATAAAAGAGTGAAAGACATACTGACGAGGGGCGGAGAATTCGCATTCGTGTGTGTGTGTGTGTGTGTGTGCTTGGCCATCATCCAGTGGTGTTTCAAACTGGACGTGCTGCGATGATGATATCTCAGTTCACAACGAGTTTGGTCTCGTCAGTGGAACCATTCGGCAACTTTTTAACAACTCTCCGCTGGAAAACCAAACTCAGGTCAGGCCAATCACATTGTGTATAGAGTTGGTGGGCGGGCTTAACATAACGACAGCAGAGTTGTGACGGTTCCACGTGATTTCCATCGGTGATTTCTCTGCTACTTAAAAACAAAGAAGATGCTGCTGACGAACAGTTGTCTTTCAACTCGGCTTTTGGCCACGACTCTGAAGGACTGAAGTCACTTAAATCATTCTTAAAAAAGGAAGATGTGTTTGAAGTTTTGACGACCTGATCTGGCAAATGTTTAATATGTCAACTAGCTCCGCTGGTTGGTTGTAGCGCTATCCTATCGCGTGCAGAGGGATTGTGAAAGACAACTGTTTGTCCCGCCCCTCGGATTGAGGTATGCCAATTGTGAGTTCCCAGACCTAACATCTTGGGCCAGTTGTTCAAAACATTTAATCTGGATCAAAATGATCCGGATTTGGAAATCCCATTTTTTCCTATCCAGGATCAGGTAATCCGTCGTACTTTTATGCCGGTTTTTCAAAGCAACATCGGACTGGATCACCCTGATCCAGATACACAGTTTTCAAGATTACCAGTGCTCTAAATGGGACAAAATATCACAATGTGGGCTACCAGCTATGTAAAGAACATGGGGTCACTGTAAGTGTTTCTTATTTTGAGATAAAAACACAAATGGGGACAAGATTTTTTTTTTTTTACTTTACTATACTGAATAGCTTTATTGTTAGCCTATGTCTACGTTATCACTGTTACAACGGTTACACAAGTCAAGTGCAAAATATAAATAAAAGTATACACTAAATGATACAAATGTATTATTTGACCAATATTAAAGTTTTACTACATTTTCTGTTGGGATCAGGATAATCCTGTTTTTTTGGATCAAAGTTATCCAAATCCCACTGACAAGTTTTGAACAACCCAAACTGAAGGTTTGATCCAGATTAAAACTAGGATTGGATTCCCTGATTCCTTGTTTCCCTTTTGAACAACCCATTTCCAATCCGATAACCAAAATCCGATCAGAACAACTGGCCCATGGATGTAGGTCTGGCTTGCCAGGATAAGCATTCCCCACAAAAGTGAAAGACTGGTCATTCGATCCAGACAAGATCAGAAATCAAATGGAAACCACCAGATTGATGGAAGATGGAGTGAAGCACTACGCCACACCACTGCTGTCTAATGTTGGCATGCTTTAGCTTCATGCCCACAAAGACTTGAGAAACAGAAATAGACTCTGATACCACAGAGGAAGGATCATGGTTTATTCTCCACCACATGGTTCAGCATAAAGGCAAAAACAGAGTTGTGTTCAAGGAGTCTAATCTTAACGACTGAACTAAGCCCTTCCCTTTTGGGGGCTCTGTTGCAAAAACTATATAAATACTGTTGGTTTTCTCACACAAACCGCTCGTTTCGTGTCTTAGGCCATCAGTGTGTACTTACATTTACGAGTCATTAAATCATGTTTAATTTGGACTTCTCTGTGCTGCTCTTTGGTGGACCCCCTTAGCCTCCAGTGTGTGACTGATAGACAACAACGGTTTGACTAAAAAATGTCAAAATTGAAAATACTGTGGAAACAAAGACACCTACATCTTGGATGCCCTTGAGGGAAGATAAAACATATCAAAGTGAACTATCCCTTTAAAGCGGAGACGTTTAGACGACACCATCGTCAAAAAGATCCCTTATTCACACGGATTCGTGGAAACGACTAAAGCGCTGTATTCTGCTGCCAGACCAGTAGATGGCGATGAAACAATATAGACCGAACATGTGATTTGCAGATTTGCGTTTTTGTTGTTTACAGAGAGATTGTTTTCAAAAACTTGAACTTTAAAAACCCGTTTTCAAAAGTTTTAGTTTCAGTCGGCCAAAACGCTGTTGTCGTGTAAATGAACGGTCAAAAGGTTTTACGTTTTTAGTTGAAAACGGTGTCATGTAAACAGCCACGGAGACTTCACAAACCTCCCTTTTATAGCACTGGGATGGACTGTGTAATATTCAAAAGTGTACGCATTGAGCCCCTCACATCTACAGGGTATCTGCACATTTTTAACAGCAAATTTAATGACTTTTAAGACCTTTTAAAGTACTCTAAAAGGCAAATTTAAGACTTTACCACGAAAATGTTCAGCAAGACACGACAGTGTTAATTTTGGCAGCTCTTTTTGTTTTAGTCTTAGTCTTCAGATAAAAATGCTTATTGGTCTTAGTCACATTTTGGTGATATTCTTTCATAGTTTTAGTCGACGAAAAGTCATTGCATTTTTTGTCAACTTTTAGTCATTACTTTTAGTCAAACTTCAGTTACCGATATTAATTTTGGTAGCTATTTTATATGTAGTCTTTAGACAAAAAAATGACATTATAATTTTTCGCTTTAGGCCTATTCAATGAAGCTTATGGAGACATTTGAATCAAGATAACAAACTGTATTGACAATGCACTCTTTAGCAGTATCATTTGTGCAATTCTACATATCCCTGTTCCTCAGTTCAGTGGTTCTCCAATTTTTTAGAAAACCGTACCCCCTCTTGCACTCAGACTGCAGGCACAACTTTTCCATTTAGGGACAATATCTGCCACTTTTAATCGATTTTTGTCCAGTTCAGCGCACGCGCGAGCATGGTTGCCAGATACTATTGACAAGACCGGGTAGAAAACGTGTTCTTTTAACAGAAAAGCTCTGACTGGGGATTTAACTATTTAAATCTGGCAACCAAGCATGAATGCTCGTAAACGCAGTCTGTAATAAAACAAAGAAACGGATGACCAATCAGACAAGACATTTAAGGTCCGTCCGTGAAATTTAAGACCTCCTTTTAAGACATTTTCAGGCCTTAAAAAGCGAAAATTTTATTTAAGACTTTTTAAGGACCAGATCTATAGACACGATTCCTTCCTTATGGCTGTGAGGACATTTATTGCACCCGATCTGAACTGCATCTGAGAGACAATTAAGCGCTTCAACAACATCTCAAGGTGATTTAACCAATCAGAGGCTTTTTGAAAACATTGGAAAAGACGTTAGACGCTAACTTCCCGACCAGTTAAGTTAAGACACGAAGCATCAGATCCTCATATTAGAGTGATTTATGAAGAATCATGTGACACTGAAGACTGGAGTAATGATGATAAACTCAGGAATAAATGACACGTCAACTATATATTCACATAGAAAACAGACGATTCACACTGGAGTACTATTACACTGTTTTACTGTATTTATGATCAAATTGGTGAGCAGAAGAGACTCTCTCAGAAACATTACAACGTCTCACGACCCCAACCTTTTGAACGCAAGTGTACGTGTGTGTGTGTGTGTGTTGTCTACAGTGCAGTTATAGACTTGTGACAGTGTTTGTGGTGTTTATTAAACATCAAACATTCGTGTGTCTCTGTCATCTCTTTCCATGCTCGTCGGCCTCGCTAACATGCAACAGCAAAACCACAAAGACTCAGAACGAGAAAACCAAAAGTATTTCAGGTGTTGACCCGAGGACTTCATCCTACACAACCTCCAGTCTGTTAATCACACACACACACACACGTCTGGTTCGCTATATTTGTTGTGACTCTCCATAGACGTAATGGATTTTATACCCCTTACACTAACCCTACCCATCACACACTCACGAACCCGACCCCTAAACCTACCCACCACACACACACACACACACACACACACACACCCTACCCGTCACATAAAACTTCCTGCAATTTTATATAAAAAAAAAAAAATTGTTTTCTGAATTGAGGTCCACAGTGTCCATGAATCTGTGTGCAGTCCACACCGGGATAGAAAAACATGTACACACACACACACACACACATGTAGCACAAATGCAGTTTAAATTTGAATGTCGGATGTCTTGGAAAGTTGATCCAGGAACATACTTGGTGAAATCATGTTCACCCTCTCATACAGTGTGTGTGTGTGTGTGGCTAATCTCTGGACTGACTGATGTTCCACTGCCCTCATCATCTCACGCTGGAAACAAACATCTTCTTCATCATCATCATCATCACTGACTCCTCCAGATCTCACCTTTTTAGGATCCATGTTGAACTTCTTCTTGCCACTACAGAAGCGCTTCTCCCTCTCCAGCATCTTACTGCACACAGTTCAATCATTCGTTTAATCAAAACTAAGACTACAACTATTTTTAAAATATTTACAATATTAATATCACATGAAAAAAATTAACTAAACAAAAATTTTAAAGGTTACCTTGACAACCAACTGATTTTTTTAAATTAATAAAAATAATTAATAAATATAATTAATAAATAATAAATAAATCTGAAATAAATATTTTTAAAAAACTATAAAATAATAAAAAATGTAATAAATGCCAATAATGTAATAAAAAAATTAAGGAAAATGTTATATATAAAATATAAAAACCTGCACATTCAGAAATGAATAAATGCAATAATAGTGCATAAATACAGCTCTTTTCTCAGATCATCACTCATGTGTTCACTCACTTGTCTTCTGCCGACTTGAAATCCTGAATATCTGCCATCACGTTTTCAATCTGGTTCTTCAGTTTCTGTCAGAAAAATGAAAACCCTGTGTCAGATTTCTAACGCTGCTTTCATAATAAAGACATATTTGATTTCCTTTACAGTGTCTGGCTATGATACACTTGTGAATGTGATGGAAGAATCACACACACACACACACAAGTCGAGTCTTTTAGGCTATTTTAGTCCATTTCTGCTTTTTTTTTTTTTAAAGACATTTTTTTGTATTTTTGTAACAACGGGAAAAAGAAATCAACATGACAAAACACCAGAACATTTGAGGGACACATATATACACAGACAGATTATCATTTGACAGGTAATGCTGAAGCCGAATGCAAATTCATGCAAATTCAGAATAACCAAATGCTTGTAACATTCAGGGAACGTTAACGTTTCCATAACATAACGGTGAAGTTATCAACATGTTCTGCATATCATTAAGAATCACACACACAAACACGACCACGAGTCCAATATTACATGTGAAAGATGCGTTTGGGTTATTTTGGACCATTTCTCCTTTTTTTCCACAGAAGAACGGGAAAAAGAAACCGCAATGACAAAACAACAGAACATTTGAGGGACACATATATACAAAGACGGGTAACTAAAAATAACATTCGTTCAAAGGTTCTAAAACGTTTCAGTTCGTCTAACATTTCTTAAATGTTACTTTTGTTTCAGAACATTCAGAGAACAATCCAAAGTAACGTTCCCATAATGTTCGAATAACCAAGATAATACATTTTTTAAAAGTGGACGTTTGTTACATTCAAAGAACGTTCAAAAAATAACGTTTTCAATTTGATTTTCTTTTATTCTCATTGCATATATTATACAATGAAACTAATAAGCAAACCTTACGGTGCATCCACACATGACAACAACATTCAAGACAACACAGTATAAACAATATATATAACACACACTGTTCTGTGTGTGTGTGTTCCTCACCTCGATGTCCTCCAGCAGAACCTGCTTGTGCATCTTCAGCCGCTCGATCTCCATCTGCTCCTCCACCGTCAAATCTGAGGAAACACACACACACACACACACACCGTCAGATGAGCGAGTGTGTGTGGCTGCAGATCAAGAGAGATCTGACATGTAAAACACTGGTTACAGTCCCGAAACACAGCAGTGTGTGTCCACAATACACACCGACAGGCATTAATGCCCAGATTACAGTTGTTTCTCACACTCGTCGGGTTCTGCTTTATGAAACAGGAAACCTGGTGTCACAGGGGCCGTTGGTTCCTGCGTGAGGGGCCTCTGAGCGTGTGTGTGTGTGTGTGTGTGTGTGTGTGTTTCACTTCAGACATGACTATCTAAACAGCAGACAGACGAAACAAGAGATCCAGACACAAACTCAGACCTGATCTGAACGAAATCAAACCAGCACATATGAAATGAATAAAATAAAGATCATTAATTTTAATTAATTCAGCTGATAATACAGATTTCCATTTCAATCCATCGGTTCTCTCACGATTATGAACAAAGGTCTTCCTGTAATATTACTAAAGCGTTAATTCAAAGTTATCAGGTTTTTAATAATTTTTTTTTAGTTCATCTAACGTTTTTAAACGTTTTCAGAGAACATTCAAGTAACGTTTCCGTAATTTCAATAACCAAGAAACATTTAAAAAAAATATATATGTAGTTAAATCTACTTTCACCATCTATAGCCTAACCTCTAGTTGCTGGTGTTGTGCAGATAAATAAACCACCACCACTGATAATCACATTATTAATAGCAGCCTGCAATGCAAATACAGATTTTACCACTAAAACCTTGAATGTGAATTAGACTGAAGATGGAGGGAGAGTTATTTGGGGTTAAACGGTCTCTTACCTGTGTCGGTCATTGTGTGTTATAACGCTGAACTCCCGTTTGATCACAGCTGTGAGGCGTTCTTCATGTTCATGAGTTCCTCTATCAGCGGCCCTGCCCTGCAAACACCCGTTTCACACCAGAAGTCAAGAGTTTCCGCAGGAGGAGCACAACACAACAACACACACACACACACACACACACACACACAAATGATGAGAGACCTGATGAGGCCCTCTGCTGGTGATAAGAAAACACATTAATGAAGCAGAAAGATTGTGATGAACCTGATAATTACAGTTTTTTCCGATTGCTTACACACTAAAATTAGAACTTTTCTCGCAATTAGCAAAACCTTACATTCGAGGAGCAAAACACCGGCCTAGATTTGCACAACTGTAAGCACATTGTCAGCTTCACACTTTTTGCACAACATTACACACACACAGTGATTTGCAAAACACTTGTATGTATTTGACACAGAAATTTATCATGGTGTAATTTCCTTGCAATTTCAAAGCCATAAAGGCTTTCAAATAAACACACACATGAAATAAGTGATTAATTTTTCATGAGGAAAATTTTTTTGCTCTGTTTTTCTGAATTAATGAGTTAATTTTTCGTGAGAAAAAAAGTTTTTGCTCTATAGAAAAACAGAGCAAAAAAAAAAATCCATGAAAAATGAACTCGTTAATTCAGAAAAACAGAGCAAAAAAAAAAAAATCCATGAAAAATGAACTCGTTAATTCAGAAAAACAGAGCAAAAAAATCCATGAAAAATTATCTCGTTAATTCAGAAAAACAGAGCAATATATTTTTTTTCTCATGAAAAATTAACTCATTAATTCATAAAAACAGAGCAAAATATTTTTTTTCTCATGAAAAATTAACTCATTAATTCAGAAAACACAGCAAAAAAAATTCCATGAAAAATTAACTCGTTAATTCAGAAAAACAGACCAAAAACTTTTTTCTCATGAAAAATTAACTAATTAATACAGAAAAACAGAGCAATTTTTTCCCCATGAAAAATTAACTCGTTACAGTAATTCAGAAAATCAGAGTAGATTTTTTTTCTTCAAGTGAATGCAACACGCCTCCGTAGTATTCTATATATTTCTCCACTAAATTAAATAAATAAAAGTACCGTTTGTAGAACTGAGGGCTGCAACGGTCCCGCGCTCTCTCTCTCTCTCTCTCACGGCACATCCACAACCAGGAGAATTGCGAATAAGAGAGGAAACTGACACCGGCAGACAGAGCAGGTATAGATATGAAAAAAAATTCTCTGATCTCATAATATGTCGATTTTATCACGAAATTGAAATAACAAATACCGTTTTGGCGCTTGTAGGCCTACATGTGTCGTGAGATCGCTGTGGCGCCCAGCTCGAGTCGTGACCGATCATCGAGTGAATAAACACGAATGAACAATTTTAAAGATACAGTACCAAAATATATAGACAGACAGACAGAAGGACAGACAGATATACAGAAGGGTAGACCGACAGACAGAAGGACAGACAGACAGCCCAGCAAACAACCAGCACGTTCCTAGAACTTTCGCATTAGGTTAAGGGAACATTCCCGGAACATTCTCCTTACATTATAAAAATGGAACCTTAAAATTCTTGTTTGGTTCCCCAAAAAATAATCTCATGGGACCATTGGGGAACGTTAGGGGAACGTTCTGTGTTTGCTGGGAGGCAGAAGGATAGATAGATAGATAAATAGATAGATAGATAGATAGATAGATAGATAGATAGATAGATAGATAGATAGATAGATAGATAGATAGATAGATAGATAGATAGATAGATAGATAGATAGATAGATAGATAGATAGATAGATAGGCAAAGTGATAGACAGATGGGCAGAAGAATAGACAAACAGGCAGAAGGATAGGGATAGATAGATATAGACAGACAGAAGAATAGAAGGATAGACAGACAGACAGAAAGAAATACAGATAGACAGGCAAACAGAAGGATAGACAGACAGTCAGAAGGACAGACAGATATGATCCAGGGTTCTTTGTATGTTTACAGCATTGTATTCATTTATGCAAATGAATCGATATTGCATCAAGATCGTAAGCAAATCACAAGAATTGAATTGAAATCGTGAAATTTGTGTCAAGCAATGATAAAAACAGCGCAAGCACAAAACATATGAGCAGAAAATGTAAGAGAGCACAAAGTATAGATAAAACCAAGGAAAATATTCTTTTTTTTCTTAAACACGAACATAAGTTTAAGTTTTGTGCAATATAAGTTAACATGTTTAAAGATTTTATAGTTATTTTTTTGATTCACGCTTATTATATTTTAATCCGTGGCCTCACTATTCTGATTATTTTAATATTTTAATTATTTTAATTTTTTGATTATTTAAAAAAAAAAAATTCAGTTTGTGCAATATATTTTTACATGTGTAGCCTATTAACACTTATTTTTGGAACCGTGACCACAAAATACTTTTGACGGGATATTGATCCCATAATATTTTAATGTTTTTATAGACTTTATATGGACCTGATGAGTTTATAGTTGGACTGATTTGAGTAAAAGCCATGTGGAAATCATCAGACCTCCTGTAGAGATGAAATATGCTCATGGCCTTTCTAGAAGAAACATCAATATCTCAATATCTCACAGTGAAGAGCACCAGATCCTTGGAGACTCACGGACATCATGAGCTTCACACTGAGAGAAGGACAGTTAAGAGCATTGATCTGACGCATGATGAAGAACTCATCTAACCCAAACACA